TCTGTATGCAGACCTAAAGCCAACTATTGCTAGTACAGTCAAGATCGAGTCCCTCTCACTTTTAAATTTGACACTTAGCAAGAATACTGCTTGATTAAGGTCTCATGATGTTGTTTTTTTTGTCATCTGTTTCTTTAGATGAGTTGTAACAGTTATTAAAGTAACAGCAGTAAAGAATAATATTAAAAATAAATAATTTTTGGTATTTTTAAATAAAAAAAAGTAGTCTGAAGTGTTTGAAGTTTTTGTCTAACATTGCCATATGTTGTTTACAGTATCCATGACAAAAATGGCAGACAGCACAGGAAACATATTACAAAAGCTGAGTGGCCTTATGAATGAAGACGTTTTACAAGAGGAACCACAATTAGCTTGTTGGAATGACTTTGTTTTTGAGATAGTATCACATCACATGACCACCCGTCGACTCAGGATGAACACAACCAAAGTCTGGGAGGATTTGTTGATGAAGTATTATCAATTACGAGGCCAGGAAACCTCTCAATACTTGCCSATTTACTGTGGAAGTCATAGTGAGGGAATGCCAAATGCTGGAGATTTGGATATGATTATTGAAGAACTACCATTGAGGGTGTATGAATACACTGCTAAGATGGTTGGTAATGTGAATGAGCTACCATTTGTCACGTCAAATTGTCACCCTGGATTTATACAAATTATCATTCCGTATGCCACACGAAAATTTCACAACTTTCCAGATTTCCTAATACGAAAAATTGGACAACATTATTACTTGAGCAGCAGGGACCTTATGCAAATTATTCATGATTTTGCACCTACTGAAAGCAAACTTGAAGTCCGTGGACCAGCACTCACGCTATCAATGAATGAAAGCACATCGTATGACCTCGTGTATGCAATCAGGTGTAAACAATGGCCTACTTTAGCTCTGGATATTTTTCAACGCTCAAATATCCCAGAAAATTTGAAAGAGAACCTAAAAGGCTTAAGTCTGYACGCTGTAGCAACTGGTTGCGTTTTGAGTAAAGATGCTGATGTGGAGTGGAGGCTATCATTCAGTGAAGTCGAGAAATGTTTGCTAGAAAACTGGAATGATACCCAGTTKTATTGTTACTATCTCTTAAAGAACATAAAAATGATTCACCTAAGAAGTCCCGACATCCTGTGTTCTTATTATTTAAAAACAGTCCTTCTGTGGATGAGTGAAGCTGTTCCAAAAGATTGGTGGATTCCAAGCAGACTGGTCGAAATGTTTTACAAGTCCTTGCTTATTCTCCAGTCAATGTACAGAGAGCATTGCATTCCTAACTACTTCA